CTCTGTTTCTGTTTTCCGTTTCCGTTCCGTATTCCTTTTCCGCTTTTTAACAACCCCCATTGTGAGCACTGTTTTACTTCAAATTCAGCATTTAACATGTTTTTTCTAGAGCAATATTCAAAACGTCTAGGTTTTATAACAAACGGTCCGGGTTTCTTTGTTTAGATTTTAAAGCAGCTGATTTGAGTCAATATTTTTCATTTTTATTATCAATTATACATAAATTACGTTAATTGCAATCTAAAATCCGACTGCAGACACCGGCATATAGCGAACAATTTGTGAAAAATACACACAGTAATCGGGGTCCAAAGGAACTTCGCCGTCAAAAAAGGGAAAATTAACAATCAAGAACAAAAAATCGTCTCTTTTTTGTATAGTTAGAGTTTCCCGTATGAAACTGAAATATAATTATTCAAATCTAGAAAAATACAATCATTGCTGTCTGTTTAAGATTTATTTTCAGGAAGTTCCTTGGAGTAAATTTCCGCAGAAAATGCGATTTTTTTTATTATTTGAAGCAAAAATATCATCAAGATAACGGTAAGTGTTTTCAAATTTATCAATTAAATTTACTTTAGACGGATCTTTTCTGAGATTGGCAATTAATACTCTTATCACAGTTGCAGAAAAAGACTTTATATGAGTTACAGAAAATAAATCTGCAATCGTGAATCTAACCCAACATCAAAATAAAACCTTATAACATGGCCGATAAGTTCAATCTGTGCTATGATTGGTTTACCAGGTGAAATTACATTTAATTTCATTTAATCCAGCCTGTTTTATTTGTTTTAACTTCTCCGTTTCAAGACGGTGAATTTTTGGAGGAATATAAACTCTACCTTTATTTAAGTAGCTGGAAATGATCAATTTGATAAAGTTAATTGATTGTGTCATTAGTAAGTAATATCCCGAGGAAGGATTGCCTTTGCCTTGAAGTTACATCAAGACCTTCCCTTTTCTTTATTTTGATTCTGATGCAGATGATTTAAGTCCAAAGTTTTCAGTTTTATTATTCAATAAGAAACCCCTGAGTATATTAGATATTGTTTTTATTTCATGATTTTTTTCAAATATAAAAACTGACAAATTAATTCATGTAGAAATATGCACAAAATAAGATTATAAATAAAAAAATATCTTGCAATTTAACTTGAACCTTGGTGTACAATTAGTCCCCGATCACCCTATTCCCAGTACTGATTCCCCCCGTTACTTGTACTGATGCTCCCCAATTTTGAATCAGTATGCAGTATTTCCTTAAAAAATAAAGATATTGCCAGGAATATTTGCCAAATGTGTTAAAATATATACATGTGCATGTGCTATTAAAAATAAATGGATCAAAAGGAAAAAAGTCTTTCAATTTTTACTTAAATTCATAGTATCACAAATGTTTTTACTTTAAATATTTTGGCTTATGAGGTCATCAAATTATAAACGCCAGAATTATGCCAAGAACTACATGTAAAAATGAGGGTGGGAGAAGAGGGGAAGAGGAAGAAACTGGTGGGTCAATTAATAATTCAATATATATGAGTGTTCTATTTCAGTGTCAAATGTTACAACCGAATGTTTATATGACTTAGCAATTGTTTAGATCTGGAAAGTAAAATTAGTAACTACTATGTTCCCAGTCTTATCAAAATTGTAAAAAAAAAATTGCCATTTCCTTAACCATTCGTCCAGCTTATTCAAGTCATGGTCAACAACTGGTTTGATTGGCAGTGTATTAAGACCGAGCTGCTGGTCCAAACATCATCAGCAAAATGTCTACTAAGAAAATAAGTTAATCAAATATGTCATTAGTTTATATATATATGAAATATATTAGTCTTAGGTTCTTAGTGATTCTTGAAGGACTTCAGCGGGAAAATGACCAAATACAGATGGTTTATTTTTCATTTTCGCTCTTTGATGTCTCCTTTGTAGGTAGCTCATAAACTATTTAACAAGTTACATAAAACTCTATATTCTTTCATTTCTTTTTTATAGAAAAATCTATATCCAAAGTTATCAAATGACTTAGAAAAGTCACACAAAAAACACAAAAAATCGGAGTAGCTAAATTTTAATTAAACTGCTTTAAAAAAAAGAAGCATTTATATACATTTCTATGAGTTGATGCACAGTCATTTTAGGCAGAATTTTGACGAACATTCATAAAACGTTTGTTTTTCGTTATTAAATAAAGATACACTTTCTTATCAAATTACTCTCTCCATTACTTTATACCACCACAACTTGTAACATATGAGCTGCATCTAATAGAAGTCGACCTTATGCAAATGAATATCAATACATATGTTAACTCATTTCGGGTTAAAAATCTCTATGCAAAGTCTGTAACTGTTTAAAAATTGAGGCAATATAATAACCCCACAAAACAGACCATCATTCATCTTTTATTTCGTATTTGAGTGTTCCAAAATCTATCAAAGTATTAGCAATGTACATGTATACGTGCACTTGCATAAGGTCGATTTCTTTCCGACGCAGCTCATATATCGGACATAAATCGGAAAGTGGATGCTGAATCCACATTTTTCAAATTTCAATAACATTTGCAATAATACAATTATAACGAAAGGTACATTCTTCAAGTAATTTATTAAACATTATTGAATTGAAGCATTGAGTATTTGAATAGCATCAACAATTTGATTCGATAATATAGAAAATGTATCATAGATATCGTTTCATGTTTGTGGGAGAAATACGGAAGAGGACAGTTTTCTTTTTCTAATTTGAAAATAAGACAAATATATGTGCATGTTAGAAGATTACATTTCTCGTCTTCATTACACACGGTATCATCAATCGAATTATCATTTATAAAGATTTGTAGGAGTGGAATATATACAAGTACCTCTATTTGATAAATGAGCGTTTTCATGTTTTTCCACTAAGTTTTGGAATTTAAAACATCGTCATAATTATTTTATATTAATCCATGAAATCCAATACATTTTTTCATATTAAAAGTGTAAAATAAAATGAAATAAAAATTGCTATAGCAATGTTCAAAAAAGTGTAATTTGCTATATAGAATTGCCACGTGTTCAACACTAGAAACTTGTGTGCGTTTGTCAATTAACAATTCTATGGGTGGGAGTGATTGACCAAAAATAGATATATGGGAGGCGTAAGCAATCCACATTACTGGTTTAACAGGTTAAGCGATAAACTTTGTCCATCAATCACTTACTCATTCAAATTCTAAATAATAAGTTATTATGTGCATAGAAGATAAATTAGAATTGATTAAGCAATACAACTAGCGGTTAGCCGATAAAAAATAGCGGTTAACCGATAAAAATAGCGATTAACCGATAAAAATAGCGGTTAACCGATAAAATTAGCGGGTAACCGACATATTTATAGCGGTTAATCGACATATAAGTAGCGGTTAATCGATAAAAATAGCGGTTAACCGATAAAAGTAGCGGTTAACCGATAAAAATACCTTTTGAACCAAATGGTACACCATAAGAAGGGGCGCTGTTTCATGTACATCGTTTTTATATTATGGTAGAGATTGATATTTAATGCATAAATTCCAAATTTTATAAAAAAAAAAGACTGAACCAACAAATAAATGAGTAATTGAACAATGTTTAAGCACGTGCCGGTTTTTCTTTGATATTGCCGAATATCAGTGAAACGATCGACACGAGCCAACTCACATAACAACTGATTAAACATTAAACAAATTCAATCATAATCTTTTTATTTAAAGTAATTAACAATTGTAAAGACTAGTGCTAAATATGTATAATCAAATGTTTTTTTCTTATTTACAATGATTAAAAGGACAAATCATTTTGCTTTAATTTGTTTTATTTATCTTCTGACAAAGTTATTTGCTATAGGTGCATGGCTTTGGTGTGCGTCAACTATTAAGTTAGAGTGTTGTCAGCTTGTAAAAATGTTTATTTATTAAAGAGGTACCAAGACAAAAGGAAAAGATATATTTTTAATTTTATTCCGACAACGATGCGTTTATTTACAAAATGGTTTCACTAAAAAATATGAGAAAATTTTGCATAACTATAAAAAAATCAAAGTACTGAAGTACTGAACATCGGATGACCGCAAGTTCTTGTTGATGGTCAAAAGCACTTGTCACAGAAAAAAATCACATCTCTATACCTGAAACTGAGGTTAATGTACAGAGATAGTAACAGATAGAAAACTCAGGGTAAACATTCATAGAACCGAGACAAGGGGCAGTGGCAAATATTTCATGTATATTTTGAACACAAAGAGGATTACCCCGGTACCCTTTGCCAAACATAATCTTTTTTTCCTTCTATTTGCCAACGGACTTTATGTTATGAATTGTAGTTTCACTTTCCATATTCGGTATTTATTCTAATTTAAGCTCCACGTAGTAAAAATCACGTGATTCAGGAATATAGTATCTTGGATTTAGACTATTTCTTTCTTTTCGGGCGGGGACTCCAAGCAATCAACATGCATGTGTATAACGGCACTGTAGATTTCTTATGAAATAAATAAAGTTGCCGGTCCGGTACATGAATAGATCGGTTAGAAATCAAAGTTTCACTTTTAATTAGATTAGAGGGTTGAAAATAGAGAGCACAAAAAGGGGGGGGGGGGGGGTGGGGTGGGGGTGTTCCACAGGGAATATTTCCTTCTTATGAACTCTACATCTGAAAGGTTTATATATTTTTTTTATTTAATTGAAAGAGAGAAAAACAAATGTAAGACAAATTGTGAATGGTCTTTTCTTCCTTTCTCCCATGCCAAGAAATTGCCTCCGTTGAAATTTTGCAAACATCCCATAGAGCAAATTACATGGATGATTAATTTTGACCATTTGGTATATGGCTGTGTTTTAAGTGAGACGTACACGCGGGTCATAAATTAATTTATTGAATGAAATCAAATCTTTAACTACTAATGGATGCCGTGGGAGGTCGACCGGAATTTTTAGCGAGGATTTCTTGGCATGTCTTTGACCGTTGCTATACACCTTGGTCATCACAAAGACGTTAACGTCACATTGTTGAGCCGGTAACGAAGGGAGTTCAACGAAGTAAATGCGGGTGAGGGAGGAAAAAAATTCAACGACTTTTTTTTTTCGCGTACCGATGAGGAATGTCCAGCTCTAAAATTACTGTCGTGGTTGATCCAGTGAAGAATCCAAGGTAAAAAAGTAACAAGCTTAGTTAAAGAGAAATTGAGTGAGTGAGGAGAAAAGAGAGAGTCACTATTTGTTAAAATACTAATCGATCAAATGAATTTCTATAGGTCGTTAAATTCACATCCATCCTAGCATCTCAAGTTGAGAACCTAAATCGCCTTTTATCTGGAATATAATCTGGAGCTTTTGTCACAGTGAAAAGCTTCTAACCACGGAGTTTACACAATTTGTGAAATAATTTGTATCAACATCATTAAATGCATAAATAAGATTGCTGAGTATGCTGAAAATATGTTACATATACGTTGACAAATACAGTAATCAGCAAACAGGGGTCAAATACCGTTTTACGTGTATTGATCGTCTGTAATAATAATAAAAAAGAGGCAAATGTACCTTGCTTTTCCTGTTTGAATTGTTTTACACTGGTCGTTTTGTGGCCCTTTATAGCTTGCTGTTCGGTGTGAGCCAAGGCTCCGTGTTGAAGGCTGTACTTCGACCTATAATTGTTTACTTTTTACACATTATGACTTGGACGGAGAGTTGTCTCATTGGCGCTCATACCACATCTTCTTATTTCTACTTATATTCTTACTGGAACTGGGATGAGATGATAAAATTAGTTAATTTTATCATTGACAACATCGATGTACGTTTCGGCAATAAGGTTAATCCACAGGTAAACTGAGGTTTTCACATAGGCACCGATTGCGCCCCTTTAATAGCAACTTGTTCCTGTACTGTTATGAATCACAATTTATGGCCACACTTAGTAAATATCCGTCTCAATACCAATTAACTGGAAAATTTAATAACATATTTGGAGCAGGATCTGTTACCCGTCTGGAGCACCTGAGATCACCCCCGGTTTTTTGGTGGGGTTCGTGTTGCTCAGTCTTTAGTTTTGTTTTTTGTTGTTGTGTTTTGAGTACTGTTTGTCTTTTCGTCGTTTTTCGTTTATTGCCATGGCTTTGTCAGTTTGTTTTCGACTTATGAGTTTGAATATCCCTTTGGTATCTTTCGCCTCTCTTTTAACGTTACCTTAATAATATTTCTGCTTTAAAAAATGAAGAACAGTTTAATTACAATAAATCAATCAATCAATAGCGAGTTGATGTCTTCGGGAAAAAAACTACATAGATAGACCAGGTACAGTTATCTATAATACCGGTACTGTAGTCTAAATAGATGTACAATTTGTATCACAGTATGCTAATAGCATGGTTTTATGAGACATCGAATAAAGCTACTAAAGTCTATTTTCAGTAAAATTCAAAAGTCACAATCAATCAGCATTCTAGAAAGTTTGAGGTCTGATGTGTGTTACTCTATGACTGGGATTTGCACCAATAAAAATAACGTTAAAAATTAAAACCTAGTCAAGAGACAGATTCGGTGTTCCAAACAGCAAGACTGTTAGAAATACAAAACTATTAAAAATGCTTAAATTGTACTAACAAATACATTATAATATTCATAGATTTTTTAAACAGATCATATGCATTGTGATTTGATAACAGCATCATACAAGCTCATTATTTTATGATGAATTAAAACTATAGACACATGTGAATTTCAGGGGTATTCCTCATTTTGAAGCGAAGAACTTTAAATCGAAGAAAATAGACAGTGTATCCGAATACCAGGCGGTAGGTTTGAACTTATGGGCATCTTAACGCACACATATATACACGTTTGTATAGCAATAAGGTAACAATGCACCTGAACGCAACACGGATCAGCCAATAAATCTTTGAAGAAAGCACAGTTTCAATTTCAGATTAGAGAGATCATGTTCGAGTACAGTTATAAAAGCAAATAAAAAAAATTTACGAAAACAAAACAAGCAAAAACAACAATTGATAAATGAAAGTCAAATTAATGATGCAGACGAGATCTCCCATCGTATTTCCTTGAAATTTTAAAACAAAGTCAATATTGATATGATTATACACTCTCGAAATGTGCTAAGGAAATTATATCTTCATGACTAACTTTTAGAGATATTTCAGATTGTATTTCAATACGTTTCCACAATAATAACATTCAAACAGAAAGAAAAATCTACACCCGTACTTTTGTAATATGTGTGGTTTTTTTTTTTGGTTTTTTTTTTATTTTATAGGCCTTCAAGTAAATCACAAAAAATAAAATTGATTGCAATGTTTTTTTTTATATCATACAATGATGAAAAAGGGGCCATATACAATGTTCATGCCACTACAAATGCATACCGTTGATTTTTGTCTTTCAATTTTGATATTACATTTTTTTATTAACATCGATTGCGAAAAAATAGTTTCTATGTGCTTATTTTTTTAAACTGAACTGTAAAAACCCTTTTTTTTAAATACTAGAGATTACATTTCCCTTTTTGGCTCTAAATTTCGTCGCAGTGTATTATTACGCAAAGTCTTTATGCAGATGCAGATCCTGGGTTCCAGGAAAGGGTAAACTGACGATGTCACAGACATACTAGTAGATCGGTATAACTTCTTAGTAAAAAAATTTCTACAGAATTGAATAGAATAGAATATTGTTATTAAACCAATGGTGGGCCCATCGAGGCATGGTTGCAAAACATGACTACTATAATTGTACCGTAATACAGCATAATCGTATGTCCAAATAAAGTCTATCTCATTAAACAGGTCTACAGAAAATGGCCATTCCAGAAACCAAGAACAAATATACGCCCAAAGAGCAACAAATACGACGTCGCAGCCCCAATGAAGTCGGATACAACTTACAGAATGGACTTTGCTCAGCCAAAGGTTAGACACATTTATAAAGACACAGAGAAAGGGGAAATAGATTTTATTTCAAGTTCTATTTTCATTAAAATGCATAACAGAAATAGAAAGACCAGATTTTAATGAACGAGAGAATCACTTGATTTCTGAACGTTATCATTTACAGTTACATAATGTCTTACAAATATATTTTAGTATTGAAAGAAGGTGGCAACAGCTCAACTGAGCAAGGTGACAAAAACAACAACTTCAAAATTTAAAACGTTAGTTAAACATAACTTATTCATCAAAAGGAACACAATGATAAAAATAAACATAGAAGTTGCACTATCCACCAAAAGACCAAGAGAAAAAGATAATTGAGAATCGTGTGGTGAAATTTTGTTAACAAATTGATATGTCATAGATAAATGATAATAACCAACCCTTTGAGCGCCCAACTTAAATCAATTTTATTTTAATTTCTCGATGTAGGATAACACTTCTTTCAAACAGTAAAAGATGTTACAGGTCTTTCAGAAAGTTTCCAAAAAAATGTGATTTTTTAGTGAAATTATTGCTGATAGAAAGCCATAGACAATTTTATTGCATTAACAAATGCATACCTGTATGCATACAGAAAACAAAATCCACCCTTGTTTTTTTCTCTTGTATTCTGTTTAAACATTCTTGAAACAGTACACGATAGATTGCCAAATGTGGGTTCCATGTGGTTATTTTTTTTTTCCGTGAAAGAAAAAAATTTTTTTTTTTCTTAATGATGGCGATTCCATTTCCTTATTGGCACTGAAGTATAGTTTAGTTTAAACATATTTTATTGTCTAAATATACAATAGGATTGGATACAAGTTATAACAACTTAAGATAATCCTCTCCAAATAAGTACAATATACAAAATTTCAAGATGACAGCAATTATATAATTCAGTACAATATGAAAAATATATACAATAAATATATTATGTTTAAACAGTAACAGTTGGATACGAGTACACTTTAAGATACAGCAATATTAATCAAAGAATCTTTTTGTATGGCGTATATAACTATGTACATTTCTGAAAAGGATTGTGTTTTGTTCAACAGTAATTTCGTCTGTTACAAATAAAATATGTTCTATGGAGATAGCAGCTAAGTGTTGAATGGATTCAAAGAGCTGATTTCTAAAATTTATGTAGAGTGGACATTCTAAGAAAAAATGAATCGAATCTTCTAATGGACACCCACATTCACAACTTGGGTCATTATACTAAATTAACTCTGTATAAATCAGATTTTAAAGGACTACATCTTTGTCGTAATTTTGTATGCAGTATATTTTCCATCCTATTTCCAATGAAATAATATTAAGGTACCAAAAATGAAATATCATTTCGCCGGATTGTGTTTTTCTGAAGTATATCGTAGTGTATTCCTAATGCAACATCATGCAGCTGTTCCGGCCATACATCAAAACTTAAAATTTTTACCTTTTAAAAGATAATTCAAACATACATGTAATTGCCTCAAATTCTAGAACCCGAAAGTAGATTTCGTACACATAATGTTCATTTTCCTTTGCAACTTCATTCAAGTTGCAACAAACGAGTTATGATGATGATGAATTTTCCACGAATGTTGAATAGTTATCGTTAGAGCCACGTGTTAGTATATACCTCTGCTGTTGTATCGTTTAACCTTTATATGTTTGACACAAGGGACAAAATAGAACCATACTAAAAGAATATACATACAGGTTCTGACTTATAAACCATCTTGCATATATATTAAAATCACCGTGATTATGCATACATGGAAATCTTTTTTGTCATAAAACCCTGTGAAACATTCAAACATACTATTGGTCTCTGGTGGAGAGTTATCTCATTGGCAATAATATCACATCTTCTTATTTTTAAATATCCACACTGATCTGTGTCCACTCTTGTATTTATGATAAAATGAAATAAATGTCTACATTCAAGGGAGTGTCCATGCAGGTTAATAGAGATTTATACTGAAAGTTAGCAGCTTAGTTTTAATTTCAATACACAATCTCTACAGATTATTTGTTACGTTCATGCTTCCATACTTTTGAAAGAAAAGGATAATTGATAATCAAAACAACAACAAAATTTATCATGTCAAGTTGCTTCATCAACCTATATGAAATATTTCGCTAGAAACGATAAATATTAGGCTTAAACACGTGAGATATAATAGGAAAAGAACCAGATTTGTTTTAATTTGCTCCATTACAAAACATAACCAATCAACAGTTTAAGCCTTTCATAACACACACACAAAGCACTTAATAAATCTTTTGATGTATACGAATAGAAATAGAGAATGGAAACGGGCAATGTGTCAAGAGACAACAACCCCACCAAAAAGCAGAAAACAGCTCAAGGTCACCAATGGGTCTTCAACAACAGCGAGAAAATCCCGCACCCGGAAGGCGGGCTTCAGCTGGGCCTTAAACAATAATGTATACAAGTTTAGCAAAATGGACGTCACACTTAACTCAGAAACAGAAAAATGAACCAAAATTTTAAAAAGGCACAGGACTAACAATGGCTAGAGGTTCATGACTTGGGATAGGCGCAAAAATGTGGCGGGGTGGAATATGCTTTGTGAGATCTAAATCCTCCCTATACCTCTAGCCAATGTGGAAAAAAACAAACACACATCAATATGCACAGTAAAACTCAGTTTAAAAGAAGTCCGAATCCGCTGTTAAAACAGGTTACAGAAGAAACCAAGCAAAATGATAATGATCAAAATAAATTAATAAGTGACTCCTAACAGTTACTGACATAACAGCTCCAGACCCCAATTAAACTGATTGAAAGATTATGTCTTTATCATATGAAAATCAACCGCAATCTACTTTTGGGTTCTTAATACACTCTGCTGCTGTACTACCATTACAATAAATTAACCCTTGACTTAACCCCCCCCCCCCCTACTAAGTTTTTCTGCAAATAATGAACCCTCTCCGATTATTTGAAAAGAAGATACTGAAGATACTTATATGTTACAGAATACCCACACACATGTAAAGAATGCCAATAGGTACTGAAAGCAAACTCAAAAATAAAAGAAATTTTACACTCTAATATCTGCCAATGTATTACCATTACTATAACAGTAATTTTTGTGCTATTCAATTATTTCTAATACTATTAATACTACAAACGAATAAATGATCATAAATAAACTATGTAAAGACGATTAAAAGTTATGTGTGCGTGTTTTAGAGGCTAACTTGATGATTACTTATGTTTTGTTATAGAGCAAAATGCTGTATCGAGACAAAAGATTCAAATTACCAATTGAAATTGAATTAATCAAAAATTCTTTTTTGTCTGCAGTTGACAAGTCGTAAGAAAAAAGAGAAAAAAAAGCTGAAGGAAAATGAGCAATATAAATATCTACAAGATGAGGTCAATCGTAGGGAAAAAGCAGATAGAAAAACTACATATGCTTCAGAGTTTGGTCCTAAAGAGGTAAACTGAATTTGAAAACATACAATTACAATGATAGGATATCTCAATATTTCAAGGTTCAACTTTGTCACCAAAATTAAAACTGTTGTGAAAGTCTCATATCAAATGGACCTTCTTTCGGTCGGATGTTGTAAATTGTGTTGTAAATTACCCCAGCAACATCATTCCGCAGTCACTAATGTTTATACAATCAATACAATTTGACAGCAGAATAAAACAGAAAAAACATGGTTGTAGTATAAAACCAATTAATTAGTCCATTGGGTGCATAATTACAAAACAAGACAGTATACATAGATATACCTGTCCCAAATCTAGGATTTGTATGGTACTATTTAAATACTTGCCCTGGTATAGCTCCGGGTGTATTATAAAATTGAGAATGAAAATGGGGAATGTGTCAAAGAGACAACAACCCGACCAAAGAGCAGAAAACAACCGAAGGCCACCAATGGGTCTTCAACACAGCGAGAAAATCCAGCACCCGGGGGCGGGCTTTTAGCTGGCCCCTAAACAAAAATGTGTACTAGTTCAATGAAAATGGACGTCACACTAAACTCCATAACATATAAATGAACTAAAATTAAAAAACATACAAGACTAACAAAGGCCAGAGGCTCCTGACTTGGGACTGGCGCAAAAATGCGGCGGGGTTAAACATGTTTTGTGAGATCTCAACCATCCCCTTATACCTCTAGCCAATGTAGAACAAACAAACACACAGCAATACGCACAGTAAAACTCAGTTTAAAAGAAGTCTGAGTCAGATGTCAGAATAGGTAACAAAAGAAACTAAGCAAAATGACAATGATACATAAATTAACAAAGGACTACTAGCAGTTACTGACATGCCAGCTCCAGACCTCAATTAAACTGATTGAAAGATTATGTCTTATGTGTAGATAGACTTTCAAGTTTATGAACAATAATGCATACATGACCGCAACATTTTCGTTCTTAGGTCAAACAGAGAAAACCATTCACAATCGGTGGGGAACAGAGTTACAGACCACCAAACTATAAATTCACCTGCCAGTCAATGTATCAGTTATCATATCTGACTTACAGCCCTGATGTCATAAAAAAATGTCGTCCAAATATGATAATCCCACAATCAATGCTTCATTCAAATGTTGATCGCTTGATGTCAGAGACTTTCCCAAATCATGAGGTAAGTTGCGGTGTCATGGCAACAAATATGATGATCTTTTACCATTGGTTTTATGTTGATAAACATAAAGTTACTTCCTACTCGAATTCATCTATACTTTACCATTAGGGCACAAAATGCGCAAGGTGTGTCTGCTTGACTGTACGGGATTTATATATATATTCGCATCCCGTACGATCGGAATGGGCCCCAGGGACTTAAATCCAAAGTCCCGTGTAGGAAGTATGCCACGCTATCTGCATGTTAACCCTTGTAACAAGTCTTTGATGATTCCGTAGTAGGCCTCTATTAAGGCAGAATTTCTGCTAATATCCAACATTCCTTCATTTTCCTGTGTGAGTCATAATTTTTCGCCATTCATCCCGGTCGACCCACTTTACAGAACCTACCTATAGTATTAGTTGTTAGTATGTTCTTGTCCTAAATATGATATGCAATATTTACACTGGATATTTCGCAAGCAAAAAACAATCAATCCAAACAATTAGCTGTTGAATGGATAGTAGCTTGAGGAAAAGAGGACGGGATTGTGACTTCGACATTTGTAACATTTCTGTGGTTATCTATGACATAGACATTGCATGACTGTCAATCAAATAATGATGGCGTATTTACAGCTTTACAACTAGAAATCATTTGATGCAATAGCTTCTTAATTTGTAACAGCAACCCTACTGACAAATCATAATAGGAAACGAACGCTCTGAGATATCTTATCGAATGGAAGATATATACTCAATATGCAGGCGTTTTTGGAATATTGCTACACATATATATAGAAAGCTCGCAATAGGAAAGATCGAAATCATCTCTCCGATCATCAAGTTTAGTACTTAACATACACTAATTGTCAATCTAGTTGTAATTCAAGACATGAGGCAGATTTAATTGTATTTACGGTATCTTTTAAGTTTGACGGGACATATGCGTTCAACATAGTATTAAAACGATAACTGTACTGTGCATGTACTGATTTTGTGTCATGGATGGAGGATACTCCTATATTCATTGTTTTTCTATCCGACACAAAAGTAAGCTGTACCGTATATTTTTTTTTTTTTTGCAAATGCACTAGTAACACCGCTTATTTGCCTGAGTCATGATAAAAAAATTTACAAATTGATGAGGTTGGTTCGATGTCACAGATACCAATGTGTTTTTTAACACTGCAAATACTTTTGGCCAAGTTACCATTAAGAATACCATATCGTAGTGGTTGTAAATCAGAAATGTCTCTGCCACGCATAATATATAAATCAAACATTAGCTAACGAGATTATTAGGTTATGTAGTGGTCACTGAAACAGTCAGATTGGGCGAGCCTCAATATGGGGTTGATATCAATCTCTCAATTTAGGAATCTGCATGATTTTCGTCAAAATTTGGAAAAACGGTAGAATATTGCATATATTTATGTCATTCACTGTAACTGTTTGTCTCAAAAGCAAACGATCGCATTATTATAGATCATCATATTCTTTTATATTTCGACTATTTTATTCAAAAGTTATATAATGGATAACCGTTACTGATAAAAAATATACCTGTTCACAAGAGACATACGGCATTGTTAAAATGTCTGAATCACATGATTCGTTATCATTAATCACCCTTTTCTTATGATTTTGCATTGTCAACAATCTCTCGCTAATGTATTTAATTACACATTCTCATTTCCAATTATGTTGAATCATATAATTATCCTTCCGGAGCACCTGCGATCACCCCCAGTTTTTGGTGGGTTCGTGTTGCTCAGTCTTCAGTTTTATATGTTGTGTTTTGTGTACTGTTGTTTGTTTGTCTTTTTCTTTTTTAGCCATGGCATTGTCAGTTTATTTTCGACTTATGAGTTTGAATGTCCCTTTGGTATCTTTTGCCTCCTTCATCAATTTACTGGATAAACTTTCTCTGTTAACTTTCTTTGTTACCCCCTCGAAAAGACATTGTCAACCTTGGCTTCGCCTCAGTTGACAATGTATTCTCGGGGTAACAATCTGCTCTATCACCCTCTCAGCTATGTGTTATTTATATATTGTAACGTTGTTGATAACTTCTCTTCACACATTGTGAGGTTGCTGATATTACTTCTCTTTACACATTGTAACCTTGATGATAACTTCTCCTCACATTAGGACGTCGCTGATAACCTCTTCTTGCACAATGTAACGTTGCTAATACCTTCTCACATGAAGCGAGACTTTAGAATGTTTTTTCCTGGCATCGACAGCGTTCACTGTTGTTCAAGTTTTCAATTCAGTCACACAAAATGCGAGACACGTATGCGAGACACGTATCTATGTTTCAACGGTTAACGGTACAACTTGTGTTTTTGTGAGAAAATGAAAACAGAAAAGCAAACCTGCTTAATTTATTTCTACAATAAATCTGCCTCCATATGTGTAATTTCTTATTACTGCATTGTAGGAAAAAAGTAAAGATAACCCCGAGAAAAAACCCAGTCATTCCAAAGAAAAACCCAGTAATCCACAACCTGAAGAAGACGGTAAAGTAATGTTAATTAATAACAACAACATTATTAAATATTGAAGTCATTGTGTACACTCTATGTCCTTTAATGCACATGGCATTTGTAACATTGCAAGCTTATGGTTAATGTTTTGACTCAAGTTGGGCACAAGTCTATATTATATATTTTTTTTAACTTCTTGATATTTAGTATAAAACCACAATTTAAAAGTTCTGATAATTTGACAGAGTGAAGAAATTTGACTACTCATTTGCTAAATGACATTTTTCAGTCGCAATAAACCAGAAAACTCAGGAGAATGATTCCAGCCAAGTTCCTGAACAAAAAAAGGGGGAACTAGTAATGATCTCAACCTTTATGGCTGATTACAAACCAAACTGGAACGTCAAGAAAAGAACATTATGTAAACCGGAGGAGACGAACTACAGGGATGATGTCACAAAATTTGATGGAACCACCACACAGAATTCGGTATTCAAGGAATGGCCCGTCAGTAAACCAGAGGTCCCCTTGTGGGCAAAGAAACCTGTATACAAACAGCCAATGGAAGGCATGGCATTAAATAGTACATACTCTGTAAGTTCTTAAATACATACCTCCAATCAGTTCTAAAGACATACCCCCAATCATTTCTAAATACATACCCCCAATCATTTCTAAATACATACCCCCAATCATTTCTAAAGACATAGCCCCAATCATTTCTTAATATATACCTACAATCATTTCTAAATGCGTACCTCAAATCATTCCTAAAGAAATACCTCAAATCATTCCTAAAGACATACCTCCAATCATTTCTAAATACACACCTCCAATAATTTCTAAATACATACCTACAAACAATTCTAAATGCATACGCATATTAAAATCAATCGGGTGCAGGACCAATCCAGTATATCTTGTGTATTTTTAGAATAGAAATCCTGATCTGGCCTGTGTTTCTAATACTAAATGAGGTGTTTCGGTTAAGGTCATGTATCCCTAGCCTATATGTTTCCTTTCTTGTAATATTTAGAATGGATCGAATTTGATTTTACTTATAGGGATACGACGTATGTTTATACGTTAAACTGTGTTTCTTTCTCTTTTCTTCTTTCTGTTTTTTTGGTATTATTTTTCTCTTTTTATTTAAGCGTCTTCTCTTAGTTTATTTTGCGTGACATTTTTTATCTTTTGTTTGATTTTATCTGTTTATATCATTTTTCATCTTTGAATTCGTTAAATACTCCTTTAGATTTTTATGTCTCTTATATGCAATAATCGGTGGTTTTGGAAAAAGAGTTTTTGCATTTCTGTTTTGTTCGATTAGGTGCCAGTGGTTCCTTATAGCTCTGCCGATTCCTTTAGATGCTGGATTAAATCTTGTTGCAAAAAAAAAACGAGTGGTGGAGCCGCTTTTCTTATTTTTTATCATTTCATGTAATAGTTTTTGTTTTGCATTTTTATTTCCTGGTTTAGGAACAAATTTTAAACGTTTTGCTAAAACCGGTTAGTAGATATAAGAAGATGTGGTATGAGTGCCAATGAGACAACTCTCCATCCAAGTCACAATTTATAAACCATTATAGGTCAAAGTACGGTCTTCAACACGGAGCCTTGGCTCACACCGCACAGCAAGCTATAAAGGGCCCCAAAATTACTAGTGTAAAACCATTCAAACGGGAAAACCAACGGTCTAATCTATATAAAAAACGAGAAACGAGAAACACTTATGAACCACATCAACAAACGGTAATCACTGAACATCATACTCCTTGTTAGGTTTTCTTGAGTAAATATGTCTATATAATTTAACTCTTTCTCAATTTTTGCATTGTGTTGATTGTTCTTTTTAAATTATTTCTGTTTTTCTATTTGAGAACAACTTAGATAAGCAGTCTCTATTTGAGAGATTACTTTATTTTTGCTATTCTATTTGAGAATAGCTTAGATAAGCAGTCTCGAGATGAGAGATTACTGTATGTTGTTATTCTATCTGAGAATAACTTGTATTATCAGTCTCTAGTCATCTAGTCTAGAGATGATTATTATTGTTTAAAAAAACCCAAAAAAACACCATTTTTTTCCTCCTGTTATAGCGTTAAAATAGATCCTGCAATGTGTGATAGATAACCCATATATACGATTGTTTTAAATCTTATTTCACATTTTGGAGTATTGGGACTTTATTCGTAAAAAAGGGGGGATTTTCCAGTTTTCGGACAATAACTCAAGCTTTGAGCAGATTTCATGAAACATTGGTGACTAATTTCATGTCTCTGATAAAACGTCGAATCCATAAGTTGAAAAACTGTGTAAATGATCGACCAAAGTCTATATTCAGAGACAAAGAAGCTGTGAAATGTCTATCATCTCTTCACGATAAATATGTTGTTGTTTCTGTGGACAAAGCTTCAAATAATATTGTTTTTGTGTTTAAATCGTACTACTACGAATGTCTTGTAAAAGAATTAGGATTAAAAGAGTACTCAGGTAATCCCACATACAAAAATATATCATTTTACAAAGATGAGATTTTGGCGAATCATAAGTCCTTCATGGCCTCAATGAACATTACATTGAACAGCAAATCTGAGGACTAACCTTGTCTGTATTGGATACCTAAGTTTCACAAAATTCCGTACAAGCAACTGTACATTGCCGGCTCATCTGCATGTTCTTCAGAGAAATTGTCCATTAGATTGACAAAAATTCTGTCCACAGTGAAAAAGGGTCTTCAAAAATACTGTGAAACTGTTTATTGGCGTTGTGGTATTAACCATATGTGGGTTCAAAATAACTCTAAAGAACTTCTGGATAATTTCAAATCTCGATCTTTATCTGAAATTGATTCTATCAAAAACCTTTAATTTTCAACCCTTTATACCACCATTCCCCGTGTCAAGTTGAAAAATCGTCTAAAAGAAATAATACACTATACTAAAAAATGGTAGCATACGGTAAAATTTATTGCTTTGAGATACCATACGGCATATTTAGTTAATAATGAACTAAAAGGTTAAACATGCTACACTGAGGAACAAGTGATCAGTATGCTGGAGTTTCTTATTGACAACATATTTGTTGAATTTGGAGGTAGATTTTTTCAAAAATGTTCGCCTCTCATTGCCGACCTTTTCTTAATTTCATATGAGTCGGAGTTCCTTCAGACACTTGTCAAAAACAAGAAGATCAAAGAAGCCAGATCATTGAATTTCACATTCAGATAGATTGATGATGTTCTTTCCATTAACAATCCAGACATTTATGATAAGTTCCATTAATATATCCTTCAGAACTAGAAATTAAAGAACCAACAGACACGGATTCCTCCGTCTAATTTTTAGACTTGTACCTCGAATTTGACATAATCGGTCATCTCAGTTGAGTACTAGAATCTTTGACAAACGAGACGATTTTAATTTTGAAATTATCAATATCCCCCAACTTAGTAGCAATATACCAACTTCACCTGCATATGGGATATACATTTTCAAACTCATTAGATATTCAAGAGCTTGTAGCTGCTACTCAGACTTTATAAAACGCCACCAGGGTCTGAGCAGAAAATTGATGAACCAGGGTTATGTCAAAGAACATCTTTGTCCTGTTTCTCAAAAGGTTCATCGGAAGATACCAAGACCTTGTTGATAACTATTCCGTATCAATTTCACACATAATACATGATGGTCTTGAAGTAGAGATTCTAGGTACTGGCGTAGTTTTTCATCATAATTACGTGTTATAGTGTTCTTTTATTTGTCTTTGTATATTATTAACCTTTACTGTTTAGTCCATTGTTGGTAAGATTCTTTTGGCGTGGCTCGATACTTATACATCCCGCCATTGTGTTATTGTGCATTTGTTTTTTGTTTTTTTGGTATTCTTGTCTTTCATTTTTGCTGATGTGCTTTGTCTATATGCCATTTTGTTTTTCTTTGTTGACATATTTGTTTTTTTAGTGATTTAGATTATAACACAATGTTGACTGCTGTGCCCCAATTTTTGACATTTTTACCTATTATATAGAAATAAGATGATGTGGTATGAGTGCCAACGAGACAACTCTCCATCCAAGTCTCAATGTGTAAAAAGTAAGCAATTATAGGTCAAAGTGCGGCCATCAACACGGAGCCTTGGCTCCCACCGAACAGCAAGCTATAAAGGGCCCCAAAATGACCAGTGTAAAACAATTCAAATAGGAAAACCAACGGTCTAATCAATATAAAAAACGAGAAACGAAAACTTAAGCACCACATCAACAAACGACAATCACTGAACGACAGGCCCCTAACTTAGGACAGGTGCATACAAATGCAGCGGGTTTAAACGTTTTAAAAGGCGTCAACCTTCACCCTACCAACCTAAAACAGTAGTGTACCATTACAACATAAAAAGACACACTATAAAATAACAATTGAAATGGCTTAACGCGATCAAAAAGACATATAAACGAAACAAGTAAACATACACTGAACGAATAAATTTGATCTATGACACAATATAAATACAATATTAATAAAAAAAAAAGATGTAAAACAATGTCAGAAAGACAACTATTACATGGGACAAAATGGCGTTAAATAAAATAATGTACACAGGTAATATAATAATAATGTTGTTGTATGTCTGTTTGTTTTGTTCACACGTTGTCAATGTAATGGAATTTTATGCGACTGTCATACATGTGAGAGGTTTAGCTAGCTAAAAAACCAGGTTTAATCCACCATTTTTTACATAAGTAAATACCTGTCCCTAGTCAGGAATATGACAATTGTTTTCCATTCGTTTGATGTGTTTGAATTTTTCTATTTGATAAGGGACTTTCAGTTTTGAAATTTTCTTGGAGTTCGGTATGTTTGTTATTTTACTTTTTATATCTATTAGAATAAGCTCGCTTTAGTTTTTTTTTATATCTAATATATAGTTATTATGTGGAGGAGTGCATTCCCTCTTTTTCTATTTCAATCTTTGGAAGAATTATTTCCCATTTGGTTTGGGATGATATTTTTTGGAACTTCCATTGGTAGTAAGTATTATGGGAAATCAGGGGAATACCTGCATAGTTTATTTATCAATGTTAATTCATAGTACAAAATCCCTACAAAGCACTCGACAAAACCCAAATAGAGCTTGTATTGCTGCTCCTCGTCTCATAGTCACAGCGAAGCCTTCAACATGTAGACATTAAAAAAAAATGTTAAAAATTTAACAAGGTTGCATAGTGGTCATCCATTATCTTGGATTTTGTAAAATAGCAGTTCAAAATGGGTCTAGATTCTTAATGAAATTAGCAAATTTTGTTGAAGGAAAGCAATCCATATATGTATATCTTACCTGGTCTTATTATGGCTTATTGTTACGACTTTTTTTAACAAATGCAGAACGTTTTTTGGTGGAATGAAAAAAGTTGATATTAGCTTTATTAGGGGAGATATCAATTAAATTTTGTAAAGGAATGTACAGTAAAATAAAATTTGTGTATTATAGCAAGAATAAAAGTATGGTGATCCCATTTATTCTTATCGTTTTCTTTCATCATTTTATAACAGCTATCTCCTCATATTCTATTTCAAAATTCTGTTTTCTTACTATTCACATGACAATGCTTTTCCTATGTGTAATCCTTTCAAAATGTGTCTCTGTTTTACAACCTATAGCTTGAAAACAAGCTTGGTGACCTACATTTGTTATCATGTTGTTGGGGAAGCAGGGCATAAACTACTTGGTAAGGTTTGAAAAAAAGTCCTTTACCACCATAAGAAGTCATACCTGATGTAACCAATATGGTAATGCTAGTTTTATCCAAAAAATATGCTTTCTCATTTTTATACTTTTTTAAGATGGACTTTGCTGATCCTAAAGTGATAAAAGCTGTAGCTTCTATGAAACCACCGCCCAGGAATGAGGACATTATAAAACCAAGTGGAGATGGTTCAATGTTTAAACCTTCATCAACGTACAACAACACCTTTAAAGAATGGAATGGAGCAAAACCTGCAAAAACATTCCTTGTCAAGAGTGTATACAATCCTCCTAAAGACAAAATGGATTTTGAATCAACACATAGAAAATGTTACACAGGTACTTATATTACTTTAATAGCATTATACTGTACATGTAAGCCCTTGTGTTTATACCTAGAGTGAAGGGAGCTGCATTATTGGAAACACCTTGTCTGTCCGTGTGTTTTGCTCTTTCAACAATATTTTTGTCACACTCTTTCATCTGTTTACTGTCCACATAAGGCCTTGTTTTTATACCTAAAGTGGGGGCAGCTACATTGTTATCACCTTGTCTGTCCGTGTGTTTTGTTCTTCCAACAATATTTTTTAGACACTTATCTCAGGTATAACCTAAATAGAAGTACTTCATATTTGGTTGGCAGATTGAAAGTGGTGAGTTGTAAGGTGTGAACACTTTTCTGAGCACCTATGTCCTGCTTGCAGATAATTTGAATTCTCCAATATGCAGAAGGAACTTAATAGTTTTGTCTCACATTTCATTAGTACTACTGTACAGAATGACTTCATATCTGGTCCGAAGCTTAACAGTAACAAATTTTTAATGTGTAAGTAATTTTGGAATCTATCAGACAACTACCTCCTGTTTTCTGATACTTTGTAGTAAGAGAGGGAGTATGCTTATCAGGACAAGATACAGCTTCTTGTTTATATTTACATAGCACTTTCTTTAATAGAAAAACAAGGATATGGTGTATCCATCCAAGACAAAAAAATCAGTACATGCACAGCAAATAACACACAAAAAGCAAATAAACTTTTATTGCTGTTCTTCATCTCAAAGTCACAATGAGGTCTTTAACTTGGAGCAACAAAAAAAGCAACTCTTACCTCACTGCAAGTTCTAGACGGTTCCTAGCACCAGTTTCTTTGTACAGATTTGAAGGAGTTTGTAAAATTTCAGGAGGCACAATAATATCTAACAAATATGGAAGTGGGAACATGCTGATTACACAGTTAGAGTTAAGTGCGTCCTGTAATAAATTTTATTGTATGTTCTTTTCTGTATGTTTTGTTATTCCACTGATCCAGGTTATAAAAAAGGGGGGATTCGCTTAGATCTATACAAAAATCTGCTTCATACTCCTGAACCTGTCCCAAGTCATTGGTTATGACATATCTTAATATTTTTCTGTTATTTGGAAAATTTGGTATTAATGGCAAACATTTGATCGTTCATCAAATATGATTTATTCACAAGTTTTATAGACTCTGTATTAAAGATTCATAGTTTGATATATATATCCTATAGACACATGTGTTTTGATGACTGCATGATGTTCGCTAGATATCTATTGTTATTTTTGGTGGTTGGATTGCTGATTTGATGCATACCCCACATTTAATTTTATCTATATGATAGAACACTTCAAAGAATGAAAAACTAAAAGTGACGCTACCCAAATTTGAACTTGATCTAAGTTTTGTGGTAATAAGCATTGTGTGTAAGTCTCATAACATTCGGTTGAGGCTAACTTAAGTAGAGAACAGAAACTAAAAATTCAGCAATTTTTCTTTAGTAAACACGCATAACTCTAGAACGGTTGTGTACAAGTTTTATAACGTTTGGTTGAGACAAACTAAAGTTAGAAAACGGAAACGAAAAATTCAGCATTTTTTATGTTTATAAAAGGACATAACTTAAAATGGTAAAAGTGACGCCACCAAATTTCGTACTTAATCTGTATTATGTAGTAATAAGCATTGTGTATAAGTTTCATAACATTTGGTTGAGGTAAACTAAAGTTAGAAAACGGAAACAAAAAATTTGTACTTGATCTTAGTATTGTGGTAATGAATATTGTGTATAGGTTTCATAATGTTTGGTTGGGGCAAACGTAAGTTACAAAATAGAACTAAAAATTTTGCAATCGTTCAATTTATAAAGGGGCATAACTCAATAATGGTTAAAGTGACACTACCCAAATTCAACTTGATCTGTGTTTTATCAGTGGAAGTCAAAATTAAACATTGCATTGTATTAAGCATTGATTGTCGTTGATTCAACTATAATCATGGACAAAGGAAGATAACTCCAATTTTAAAAATTACTTGATATTTAGAAGAAAATAAAAATTTTGCAATTTTTCCATTTATAAAGGGGCATAACTCTAGAACGGTTAAAGTGACGCCACCAAAATTCGAACTTGATCTGTGTTTTGTGGTAATAAGCATTGTGTATAAGTTTCATAACATTTGGTTGAGGCAAACTTAAGTTAGATAACGGAAACTAAACATTTTGCAATTTTTCCATTTATAAAGGGGCATAACTCTAGAACGGTTTAAGTGACGCCATCAAAATTCAAACTTGATCTGTTTTTTGTAGTAATAAGCATTGTGTATAAGTTTCATAACATTTGGTTGAGGCAAACTAAAGTTAGTGAACGGAAACAAAAATTTTGCATTTTTTTCATTTATAAAGGGGCACAACTCTAAAACGGTTGAAGTGATGCCACTAAAATTCAAACTTGATCTGTGTTTTGTGGTAATAAGCATTGTGTATAAGTTTCATAACATTTGGTTGAGGCAAACTTAAGTTAGATAACGGAAACTAAACATTTTGCAATTTTTCCATTTATAAAGGGGCATAACTCTAGAACGGTTTAAGTGACGCCATCAAAATTCAAACTTGATCTGTTTTTTGTAGTAATAAGCATTGTGTATAAGTTTCATAACATTTGGTTGAGGCAAACTCAAGTTAGAGAACGGAAACGAAAAATTCAGCATTTTTTATGTTTATAAAAGGACATAACTCTAGAACAGTTAAAGTGACGCCACCAAAATTCAAACTTGATCTGTGTTTTGTGATAATAAGCATTGTGTATAAGTTTCATAATATTTGGTTGAGGCAAACTAAAGTTAGAGAACGGAAACTAAAAATTTTGCATTTTTTTCATTTATATAGGAGCATAACTCTAGAACGGTTGAAGTGATGCCACTAAAATTCAAACCTGATCTGTGTTTTCTGGTAATAAGCATTGTGTATAAGTTTCATAACATTTGGTTGAGGCAAACTTAAGCTAGAGAACGGAAACTAAACATTTTGCAATTTTTCCATTTATAAAGGGGCATAACTCTAGAACGGTTTAAGTGACGCCATCAAAATTCAAACTTGATCTGTTTTTTGTAGTAATAAGCATTGTGTATAGGTTTCATAACATTTGGTTGAGGCAAACTCAAGTTAGAGAACGGAAACCAATTTTGGGGGACGTACAGACGGACAAGGGTAAAACTTAATTCCCCCTCCGCTACGGCGGGGGCACAAAAAAGGTTATGAAGGAAAGGTTATATGTTTTCATAATTTAAATTTCTGTCATCTTTCAGGACAACTAGCACAGAAGGCAGAAATAATAAGACATTCCTCAGAACACAGACAGCTGAATAAAGATGGCAAATTATGCTTCCAGACCACATACCGGGAAGCATACAAAGACAATCGTCCAAAGAGCTGCCCTGGATCAGGAGGAGGGAAAATGCCAGCTGGGGTCAAGACTGCATGGCAGGAAGACTTGTCGTCAAAGAAGGAGTTGAATGAATCACAAGATAAGGACATTATAAAATCTAGTGGAGATGGTCCAATGTTTAAACCTTCATCAACGTACAACAACAGTTTTAAAGAATGGAATGGAGCACAACCTGCAAAATCATTCCTTGTTAAAAGTGTATACAATCCCCCTAAAGACAAAATGGATTTTGAATCAACACATAAGAAATATTACACAGGTACTTACTATGTAAATATGAACAAGAAGCTATATCTTGGCCTGCTTAGTATACTCCCTTTCTTACTTCAAAGTATCAGAAAACATGAATAATGTGTCTGACAGAGACCTTGTTTTATACCTAGAGTGGGGCAGCTATATTGGAATCACCTTGTCTGTCCATGTGTTTTGTTCCTCCAACAATATTTTTGTCACACTCTTTCATCTGTATACTGTACACATAAGGCCTTTTTATACCTAGAGTGGGGCTGCTTTATTGGAATCACCTTGTCTGTCCATGTGTTTTGTTCCTCCAACAATATTTTTGTCACACTCTTTCATCTGTATACTGTACACATAAGGCCTTTTTTATACCTAGAGTGGTTCAGCTATATTGGAATCAACTTGTCTGTCCCTGCGTTGTGTTTTTCCAACAATATTTTTGTCACACTTATCTCAAGTATACCTAAATAGAAAGACTTCGTATTAGGTAGGCAGATTGACATTGTTCTGTTGTAATGGTGTGAACACTTTTCTGAGCACCTATGTCCTGTTTGCAGATAATTTAAATTTTCCAATATGTAGAAGGAACTTAATATTTTTGTCTCACATTTCATTAGTACTACTGAACAGAATAACTTCATATCTGGTCTGCAGCTTAATAGTAACAAATTTTTAATGTGCAAGTACTTTTGGGATCTGTCAGACAACTACTTCCTCTTTCCTGATACTTTGAGACGGAGTATGCTTAGCAGGACAATGCTATAACTTCTTGTTTATATATACATAGAACTTTCTTTGTACAGATTTGAAGGAGTTTGCAGAATTTCAGATGGCATGATAATATCAAAATAATTAAGTTACCAAAAAATATGGACCTTGGGACATACTGATTATACAATTAATGTTAACTGTTTCCTGTACTGAATTTTATTGTTTGTTCTTTTCTGTATGTTTTGTCAGTACACTGATCCAGGTTAGAAAAAAGGGAGGATTTGTTTAGATCTATACAAAAACCTGTTTCATGCTCTTGAACCTGTCCCAAGTCAGTGGTTATGACGTACCTTAATATTTTCTGTTATTTGGAGAATTTGGTATTAATGGCAAATCTTTGATCGTTACTATATATTTATTCACAACTTTTATAGACTGTGGCAGCTTCATAGTTTGACATATATCCTATAGACACATGTCTTTTTATGAAGACTGCATAAGGTCTGCTAGATATCTATTGGTATTTTTAGTGGTTGGATTGCTGTATTTTTTATGCATACCCCACATTTAATTTTATTTATATGATAGAATATTTAAAAAAATTAATAAAACAGGGTCATGAAGGAAAGGTTATAAAAAAGGTTATATGTTTTCATAATTGAAATTTCTGTCAATTTTCAGGACAACTAGCACAGAAGGCAGAAATAATAAGACATTCCTCAGAACACAGACAGCTGAATAAAGATGGCAAATTATGCTTCCAGACCACATACAATGCAACATACAAAGACCATCGTCCAAAGAGCTGCCCTGGATCGGGAAGAGGGAAAATGCCAGTTGGGGTCAAGACTGCATGGCAGGAAGACTTGTCGTCAAAGAAGGAGTTGAATGAATCACATGATTCCGGGATTGATATGATCGAATGTGATAATAAAAAAGAAGAGGAAGATAAATAGATTTTATTTTGAAACAAGACACAGTAAATGACTGCAATTAATCAGAAGGAAATTAACAAACTACATGTATAAATTGAGGATAGGTTTTAATCACTGTGATTAAAACTGACAATTTTATTTATAACAATGTAAAGATTAAATAAGTTTCTACAAACATAACAAAAACATAACATAACAAGAAATTAGAATATAAAAATATGAAAAAAGACTGAGACTACTAAAACACGGTGTTACAGTAGTTGTAGAAAAAAGTAAATGTAAATAAGACCTTTGATATGAATGTTCTGTTTCTCTGGTGCCTTACAAACTCACTAAAAAGTTTCATCATCGTTCAGTTTTATCTTTAATTTTCATTTAAAACAATCTCTTAAAATATGAATGAATGTATGGCTTTAAAACAAAAACATGGCTAATGCATATCATTTATTAAAGCTGTACCTGAATAAACAATGCCTTCTATCTATCTTAATGTAGTGGGGAGTCTGTTAGAAATCCTTTTTTGAATTTTTCTAATTTAGATGAAACAATTTTATTCAAAATTTTTATCAATTTTATTTAGATTAAAATTGAATTAATTTGGAAGAAAATAAAAATTATAAAATAAAGTGAAGATTTTGAATTTTTCACCACACTAAATCTAATTTGTCACAATTCTTAAGACCAGGACATTTCTATGTCTTGTCTAACTTTATAGAGTTGTGTAATGTAAACAAAAATTTGATAAGCTGATATTTATCTCATCTGTTGGCCTGGTGATAACAAACTTAAAAAAAAAGAAAAGAATATAGAATAGTATATGGCTTTTTCTATCTCACACCTATATCATCCCAAGACACCAATATAATTGTGAGAGCTCTGCTGGAGGGACTATATTGGTTGAAGGTTAATACGGTGTGAGATATTGTGAAAGCCATATCATATACACTTTAGTTTATACTTAAGGGCATACAATACAGTTACAGTTAATGACTTCGCTAACATAAAATGACATATTGAAAAAAGAAGTATTTTTGACTGATTTTATTCATTAGCTAGAAAATGAGTACATGGACCCCTCTTTTTAAAATGACATTAGGCTTTTTTATGTAGCAAGATTATTTGTACCATACTTTATGAACAAATCACCGTTGATTTTTTTTAATTGGATAAATATACAGCAAAAAATGCTGTTTTTCCTAAAATCATGTAAATTTAATAAAAATGAAGAAATTGTTACACAGATTTGGAGCATGCTTATATTCCAAATGTTTTTACAAATATCCCCTTTTGTTTATCTTTTGAAACAAAAAGTAAGGTATGTCTGTTCAAAGGATAAAAATGCCCAAAAAAGGGATAATAAATGTCAAAAATTTCAACCCTATTTCTAGCTAAGAGAAGCGTGACATGAAGTAGGTAAAAATAGCTTGTATGCAAATTTCTCTTCAAAAAGTCACTAGGATCAAAACTGTATTGTATACCTTTAAAACAGATGAGTTTTTTTGTTAGGGTTTGATAAAACCTGTGCAACAGTGACTGATATTGATATCATCACAGATGGCTAATACAGATTGATTGCCACTGATTGTATTGCATATAAAATTTACTTGTCTAACTACAGAGTATAAAAGTATACAATAAATCCAATTATTCACCTTTTTCAAATAAAACTATAAAAAATGAAAATGAAAAGAGAAAAAAACAACAGAGAAACAGAACATAAATTTAAAATGACTTTATAACATTCTAAAAAGGATTTCTATGAAAATCAATTAAATTTGTCATCTTTATGTTGGGTAACAATTTTAGAATAAGAACTTTACATGTAAAACATAAGAACACAAGATTTACTAGCTATTTTACACTTTTTGGAAGTTTATACAATATTGTAAGCTGTAACTTACGTACTTTTTATATTTTTGCATTTACAAACATTTTTTGTATTGACTATTTGTATATATATTAATAAAGATGTACATTAATAATAGTCTTTGTATTAAGTCCCTTCCATGAGTACTAGTTTTGAACAATTAAACATCAAGGGAGATAATAACTAAAACAATTTTTTTGATGTTTTCTCAAGGTACGGCATTTAAATGATTTGTTAAATGTTTGAGCTAGAAATATTACACATTAACTCTAGATTTTATCACACTGCACTCAGGAAAATATTGCTAGTTTTTAGAAAATATGAAGTTATTTATTGTTACCATTATAAAGACTCTTATAAAGGTTTTATACCGCCCGACTTAGTTGCTGTTAAGGAAGTTAAACACCACAAATGGACCGAGATGTTTTATATTAAGATTTAAGGTGGCTCGGGTGTCTTCCTCCATCTTGGATTTTGCAGTTGCAGATAACAATTGGTCTAGATCTTTAATGAAAGGTGCAAATTTTGAGATAAGTATGTAATTTATGTGTAAGACTTTTAATGTTAATATAGAAAAGTATGTGTTTCATCATATTTATGTCTGTATTTTCTAAAAAACACAATATTTTTGTTTGATTAATTTTTTTTTCAACTTTGCCAAATAAGGGGAGATAACTCAGATAGTAGGGGAGATAACTCAGATAAAGTAATTTTATAATAGAAAGTGTTGTGAGTTTACCTATTTTAATATGTAGCAAGAAAACAAGTCCGGTGACCCCATTTTTTCTTTTTCTTATCTTAAAGCATGTTATAAGAGCTACCTTCCCACATTTTATCTTAAAATTCTATGGAGCAGTTTTCTTTTTATCACACAAAATTGGATTTTCCATGCATAATCTATACAAAATCTGACAATTTTGCACAACCTGTAGCGTGAAAAAAAGTCCGGTGACCCATACTTTTTATCGTATTTTTGAAAAAAGCATGATAAAAACTTCATTTTGACAAATTATTAAAAAATTCTATGGATTTTAATTAAGACCCCCCAGCCACCTTAACAAGTAAAAACAGCATTTTATATGACATATGGTACAACAAAATTTTGAAACAATACCCTAATATTTAGAGAGTATGTGTTTACAAATTAACTTTCATGAATAAAAGGATGATATACTGAAATAAGGTTCTTCATGAAAACATGGCAATGTACTGCAAACGGAGCTTAGTTATCAAAGCACATTTAAATATGTTATGTTTACTTTTACTATTGGGTTTTCATTCAACTAATTTTCAATGTCATTCTTTGGGATGATACAGCCAAACAATTAAAAGCTATTTATTATCTCCCTTGAAAGTTGTGGATATGAGGTTAAACAGGAAATATCATTGCTTCATAGTTTAAATTGGGAAAAAGTGTGTTCTTGAAGGTTTTAAATTGACTGGTGACTAAAAGTCAGGAATATGACAGTTGTTATCCATTCGTTTGATGTGTTTGAGCTTTTGATTTTGCCATTTGCTTATGGGCCTTCCGTTTAAAATTTTCCATGGAGTTCGGTATTTTTGTTATTTTACTTTTTTAATCTAGATTGGTACTAGGAAAATGAGCCCTGAAACTGTTTTGACTCCCCTTAATGTTGTCCCATATCAATAGCATTTATTTTTATTTATACAACATCCCTTTGATAAAATTAGCCTATAATCAATATTATATAAACTCCTAAGATAAACAAAAAAAAGTTGATTGAATATATAGGAATGTGGGGTTTGAGTAGCAACCCAAGGACACACATATCCAAAAAGTCATTTAGAGGTTTTAACATACAGAATGACTAGATAGTATTTTACTTAATTTGAAGACAATTATTCTTATATAATTTTTCTGCTTATGACATAGTTTCTTTATTCCAGAAGACCATAGCCTGCTAAAGTAGTAAAGTAACTTATAAGACCTTACTGCATAGATTTCAGTCAGGATAACTGTCTTCTTAATACTGTATACATATGTTTTCTGCAATTGGGTCCATAAAAGAAAATTTCAGAAGAGGCTGAAATTTGGCAGTCATTATCATAGTCATAGTTCTTAAAACCTGATACATATATTTTGCATTACAAATAAACAACATAATTTATGCACATTTATTAATACATATATTAAACATTTATCTATGTTTTACCATTACATCTGAATAAACAAATTATGCATTGATGTTGGCAGACATAAAAAACTTAACAAAATTAAACTGAAAAGTCTGGCATCAATCTTTATAAAAATATAAATGTATGAAACAAAATATAAATCTTATATTTAAACTACAAAAAAGAATAATCCAACAACTTCAATTTCAGTCAGTGGGTTAAGAATTTGTCCATTTTAGCTTCAGACATCAAGTTATAATGGATAATATTGTATTAGACTTTCAGTAAAGAAAGGTATGAAATTCACAAGAACAAGTAGATCAGTCAAAACTGAAAAGGTCCTTCAAAGACACTGAAATGGTAAATATGGTTTGTTGACAGAAAAATACAAAAGGATCCTGAATGTTTCAAAATGCAAGAGTATGTACCACAACAAACACTTAACAAACTTTAGAGGCCACTCACAGATAGTGAAAATATTTCTGGTAAGTCCAACAACTCTGGAACATAGACCAAAACATTTTCAAAATTGAAAGTGAGCCTACAATCACCGATCACAACAACAGTCTTATGTTTGTAGTAATTTGATCCAAGCATACTAGAGCTAGTGTGAGAATTATAGAATAACTATAAACAATATAGAAAACGAGTGACCAAACAACACATTAATTCACGAATGCGCGTAGCCCATGAGTTAATTATCAGTGTTGTTCGGTCACGAGTTGAATATTTTTCTCTATTTGAATTCTTCGATTAGTTATTCTTTTTATTACATTGGCAAAGGGCTTTTTAATGAAATTAAAGTAGAAAATGTAAGGAACTATATCTTTTTCTACGCATTCACAATTTGTTTTGATCCGACGTTATTGATGTCTTGACAATGCCTATTTCACTGGGAAATCAATGTAATTCATTGCAACCAATGTAATAAATGGGAATAATCACCATAAATCTGGATTAAAAATTAGAAATTTTAAAAATCAAATGGTAATTTACTTTCACCAATTCCAACAATTTTGTAAAGTTTCAAGTAAATCTAACCAAGCATACATAATTTTAGTGTAAAACATATAAAAAATTAACTTAAATCTGACAGTTAAAGTCCTGTAACTCTAGAACGTCGAACCAAAAAATTTCTAAATCTAAAGTAAGTTTACTTTAACATTCTCAATAACAAAGTAAAGTTTTGAGTAAATCAATCTTAGCATACTCTTTTAAGTGCATGATGATATGTGAAAAATTGCCTTAAATCGAACAGGGAGCTTTCTTCTGTCAATTCTTATGCTGTGTTAAAATTTCAGGACAATTGTTAAAAGCAAATTTGAGTTATGGTACAAGGTGTTGACAAACAGACGGATGGACAGACTACTGTATACTCTAATGCTTCCTGTCTAAGAAAGCATATAAATATGGACCAATTGAGAAAGTGTTGCATTACAGAAACATTAATTTGTTTTTCTTCAAAATATCAATTTGATTCAGAAAAATATACAATAAGTCTTCTATAAGGCTTTTAGTAAATGGAAACAAAATGAATAAAACAGAGATAAGACAGCAACCAAACAGAACAACATTACCAAAAGGTATCTATTCATTTAAAACAAAACAAAAATAGATTTTGGAATTGAAACAGCACAACCAAAATCATGGCAGTCACTGCAACACAATATGGACTGGTGTCAACAGGAACTACACCAACCTCTTCTCTGGCCATCTGATGGTTGGGATACTCTGAAAGAATCTGTACCTTAAACAAAATAGAGAACAATGATTTGAGATGTTTTACAATGTTGTTTTGATTAAGAAATTTATCAGTCAGCAAGGTGATTTCTTAGAAAATTATAAGCCTACAATAAATTACTTTTATAATTCACATGTACATCTTTAAATTTTGACTTCAGTATACTCCCATGACCCCCCCCCCCCCCCCCCCAACATAAAAACTGTATTCACCTTTTAAGCATCAAGTAAATAATTACAAAGTCTGTAAACATTTTACAATGCTATTCAAGTGTCTTGGAACATTTTTCTAGAATTTTATTGAAAAATACTTTTATTTTGTATTTTAAAACAATACATTATAAAGAAGTCTGTGTAAATTTTTTGATTAAATAGAGAGTCTAAATGACTCACCTGACAAAAATAAACCATTTGTATTTATTTTCACCTTTATTTGTGTTATAAAAAATATCTTTATAGAACTAATTTTTCTCAAACAATTTAATTTTGGATGTAACACGTCTTCTGAATGGCTGAAAGTGTTTTGTCTATCAGCTCATAGACATAATTTTGTCATGTGACCGTGACGTCATCAACGTTTTTATCATGATTTACTCCTTTTTAGAATAGAATTATAAGAAATGACTGTAATATTTTTTCTGTCTATTCGAAATAACCTTAAAAATGTGGTGCACACTTTTAAATAACCTGCTACGCGAATAATTCAGTGTTCACCACTTTTTTTATGTTATTTCTTCATAGACAGAAAAAATATTACAGTCATTTCTTAAATATACAGCATTTTGGATGTATTCAAGTGAAACCAAGGCCAATAAATTATCGTTTTCTTCATTGCAAGGTAACATTACTTGTTTATAAATAAATGGAGAATGTGTCCATGGGACACAGATGATGCCTCCGCTTGCATATGTTAGCGGCAATAAGCGAAATTAGACATTAAGGTTAAATCCTAGGCATTAAGTTATAGCCCGAATTTTTTTAGGAAATAAGCTTATTTCCTGAAATCTGATGATAACTATTCAACCTAGTGCCAAACATCACTTCAGGCAATAAGTGAACTTTGGGATTTTTGTTTTTTTATATACTCCAAGTAAATGTACATTCGGGGGAAATATTCTTGCTGTAAAGTAATGTTTAAATTATATTCCAAATATTAATAAGAAACATTTCTAGAATATTTGCGGTCTAAATTTGAATAAGGGAAAACAAAGAGCATATACCCTAGACAGTAAAATGATCTTTTAGCAAAGATTAAACTTTTAACTTTTATAATCCCTAGAAAAGACAGCAACTATAGAGTACTACAATTAAAACAGTTATGACATTTTTACCTTTGTAGGCTTTTAGTAAAAAGGAGAATGATTATGAAAATTTCAAAATTTATGTTTTTCTCAAGGAACTGTTTGGTACTTTGGAAAAGGCACATAAACAGGTCATGGCGACAGAGACCGTATGATTTAAACACCTTATTAATGACTATGCAAATATTTCTCGAATTCCATCAAACTATTTCTTTCACTTTGTGAAAATTGTAACATGACGAAAAAGTAAATAGGGAAGGGAGTTGTGAAACCCATTTTATCCAAAGAATTCAACAATAGAGGACAGGTTGATTAAATGGATTTCCAATCATACTCAGATAGAAACTTTAAATTTCTTAAGGTGTACCAAAATTACCTAACAAAAGTTTGTAACATTAGATTTCTAACGTCAAAATGTGCTTCAGAGGTGACTTTTCATTTAATCGATGTTTTCACAATTTTTGGTGCACCCCATAAACATCAAGTGACAATGGTCATGAATTAACGGCTTTGGTTATATCCTAGTTAAAACTAAAGTGGCCAGAACTTGTGACTTTATTTCAGGTAGTTGAATTTTAAACTTCAGTTCTTATCATGTTATCATGTACCAAATGTATTTAAACTTTGAACAAATGTACTTTTATTCACTCGCATTTACATTTTAGGCATTGGCATTAAGATTAATGCTTGGACACATTTTTTCAGGATTTAAGAATAATGCCAAACATCATTTAGGCAATAGACTTGCAGCCTTGCAGCCTGGCGTTAGTTATTGCCTAGGATTTAAGCTTAACGCCTAATTTCACTTATTGCCGCTAACATATATAACGTTTATCAATATCAATATTTCATTTTACAAAGTAATAGGCAAAAGAACTTAAATTGTAGGTTTCAGTCATAATGGTATTTTTGTACATCTTATATTGCTGATAATTTTAATGTTTAAAGTTTCTTTCTGATTATTTTACTGCTTACAGTTTCTTCCAATCTATTATAGTTCTCAAGATCATAGACAAAACCTATGATGGTAATAGACCTTTTATTTATTTTCATATTTTGCAGAACTAAAGCATTTGACTTACTTGGTTTTTCTAATGGCATGTTCTTTATATTATCTACAAAATCTGAAGCAATCTTCATAAACACTTCATCTACAATGTATTGATATGACTTGTTCATAACATAGAAAATATAAGCAATACAAGAACTGACAGAAAAAGTAACAGGTTTATAGGAATGAACACGAAACATTAGGCAGCAAACTGACACAGAAAACAAGAGATGTAAAGAAAACAATTATCAGAAATGATCCCAAATATGTTGAGTAAAACAACTGAAGCTTGATAAAAAGTCTTTAGCATGAGTTAACAATGAACTCTAATATGACATCCTTCTTTCGCTTTGGAAACAAAGCCATGTTCTAATTACAATAAAACATGAGCTGCACATGATTGACGTCACAATTGAAATTGCAACGTCAGATGATTTTCTATAATGTTTTTGGATGCTGCCTTTTGAATGTGTATTATAGGTCTGCTTCAAGTACAAAAGTTCTAAATATTCCTATCAGAATCGAAATAATTCTATTATGCCATGCTTTATGCTCATTTTAACATGGGTAGGCATTATATTTGTCAATATTTTACACCTCGCTAACGCTCGGTATAAAGATATTGACATATATAATGCCTACCCATATTTAAATGAGCACAAAGCATGGCATGAAAGAATTATTTCTTAATGAGACTTATAGATTATCTATGGTTCTTCAAACACTAGGCAGTTTTTCAGCTTCAATCTCATCAAAAGGATAATTTAATAATGCTATTTTCTTAGGCACATCAATCCTGCCAAACATTCTCTTTGTACTCGACTGAAAAACCTCATATCACTTGAGTAGTGTGAGATGAAAAATTAACATACATAAACATCAACTGCACATTTAAGAAAATATTCTTTTTAGATAAAGGAAACTGGTAATTAGAGAAATTCCGTGATAGGTTGTTTCTATGGATGTGATATCATTTTACAAACAGCAGTCAAATGGTTACATCAGAGTTGGGTATGGTTTGGATCAAACACATGTAGCCAGCATGAACTATCCTATAATGGATAATGTCACATGAGTCAGATGACCGTAGGTTTTCAGCAAACTGAGCTAGTTGAAGTTAATAAATAGTAAGTGGAAATCAGCCTATTTCTATTTTGCCTGTGAAGATGTCATGTGATTCAACTTTTTCAACCTCCTCTAAAGTAAACACATCATAATATCAAATCATTCCTACAGCACATACAGAAAGTATCAGTAAAGTAGACTTGAATTGCTCACACCACACAACTCAACTTAAGTTCTGGACCAAATGATTCCATAATACAGAAATTAAGTAATATATATAAACAAGAGTGCACACGCTGAAATGTCTCGCCTTCTTTACTAATCATTGATATTATGTTGATAGTCCTAAATATAAAGCTTTCTTACAACTGTCACATACACTTAACATTAACCAAGAAAACTAAACATTGACCAATGAACCATGGAAATGAGGTCAATGTCAGATGAACCATGCCAGGCAGGCATGTACAGCTAACAATTCTTCCATACAACAAATATAGTTGACCTATTGCTTATAGTTTAAGAAAAACAGACCAAAACACAAAAACTTAACACTGAGCAATGAACTGTGAAAATGAGGTCAAGGTCAAATAAAAACTGAGCGACTGACATAAAGACCATAAAATATTTCCATACACCAAATATAGTTGACCTATTGCATATAGTATTAGAAAAAAGACCAAAACTCAAAATCTTAACTTTGACCACTGAACCATGAAAATGAGGTCAAGGTCAAATGACACTGCCAGCTAGACATGTACACCTTACAATCATTCCATACACCAAATATAGTTGACCTACTGCATACAGTATTAGGAAAACAGACCAAAACACAAAAACTTAACATTTAACAATGAACCTTGAAAATGAGGTCAAGGTCAAATAAAACATGCCGGACTGATATGTACATCGTAAAATATTTCCATACACTAAATATAGTTGACCTACTGCATACAGTATTAGAAAAACAAACCAAAACACAAAAACTTAACATTGAGCAATGAACCGTGAAAATGAGGTCAAGGTCAAATAAAACTTGCCAGACTGACATGAACATCGTACAATATTTCCATACACCAAATACAGTTGACCTATTGCATACAGTATTAGAAAAACAGACCAAAACACAAAAACTAAACTATGACCACTGAACCATGAAAATGAGGTCAAGGTCAGATGACACCTGCCAGTTAGACATGTACCCCTTACTATCATTACATACACCAAATATAGTAGACCTATTGCTTATAGTATCTCAGATATGGACTTGACCACGAAAACTTAACCTTGTTCACTGATCCATAAAATGAGGTCGAGGTCAAGTGAAAACTAACTGACAGGCATGAGGACCTTGCAAGGTACGCACATACCATATATAGTCATCCTATTACTTATAATAAGAGAGAATTTAACATTCCAAAAAATCTGAACTTTTTTTTTCAAGTAGTCGCTGAACCATGAAAATGAGGTCAAGGACATTGGACATGTGACTGACGGAAACTTCGTAACATGAGGCATCTATATACAAAGTATGAAGCATCCAGGTCTTCCATCTTCTAAAATATAAAGCTTTTAAGAAGTTAGCTAACGCCGCCGCCACCGCCGCCGCCAACGCCGGATCACTATCCCTATATAGAGCTTTCTGCGACAAAAGTCGCAGGCTCGACAAAAACCACAATTCCATGCTCAGTATGTATAAATTCTTACTGTAGAAAAGAAAAGATAAAATCTTGTTTTCAAAAAGGTAAAAACCTTGATATATTTAGAATGACTTACTGACTTTTTCTCCAGTTGTACTGGAAGTTTCATATAATTCAGAACGTAAATCTGAAACCATAAATATAGTTGGTAAATACATGTATGTTTAATATGAAAATAGCTACAAAATAAGTACAATATAAAGACGGTAAATAAATACACATAAAACTGTCAGAAAAAACACATGTTGACCCTATGTTGTTTGTGTGGTTTTCAAATGTAATCAACTATTGTGTTGATTGTTTGCTGTCTCATTGACATATACTTGAACACTGATATAAATGATTTAAAAGCTGCAACAGAAATTATCACAATGCATTAAAAGGAATAACAGGATTAATAATACATAGGTTGCAATACAATAATGTGATTTCCCTGTTAAATAAAAACTGATAATTTCACATGTGAAAGGAATCATGTAATTTCACTCCTCTGATATCATTTATCAATGGGTTGTGTCAAGATCATTAAAACAGAGTGATACTAAGTAGTAGAAAAAGATAATGATCTGTGCATTTGCTACTTTTAAAAACTAACATTTAAAGTCAATGAAATAAAAAGAATAACTAAACTAAGAATTCAAATATAAAAAATATCTACCATTGATGCAACAATGCACTTGCATGCACAAACAAAAAGCTAGAAAAAAATTAACGAAGATGAAGAGAATGTGAGAGAGCATTGATAATTAAAACTGAGGGTCCTTTTTCCCTGACTTTTACTTGCTTTCATGCCTTTAAAACAATAGTGTATGTTCGAAATGACCATCATATAAAGAGAAAATGTCAATCATTATGTGAATATGCTATTATTATACCCTAGAGTGGGGTATATTGCATTCACCTTTTTAATTTATGTTTATAGGTTGCTGTATCACTTTCCTAACCCCACCATCCTTTTGTTAACAATCATATATATTTGGTATGTCAAGCAAACATTGAATAATTACATTGTTTTGAGTCAGTAGGATTTGTTGTCTAGACTCGTATTTTTTATGTAAGAATGAATCTAATGTAAAATGTATAACCATTGCCTTCATTGTTGCACCCTTTTTCTATTGTCTAATTGGTCATTGGCTTATTACCAGTGTGGCATTATACTGGTTTATAAAAAAATTGTCATCAATGAATCACCCTTGTCTGTTTATCGAGGTATATCTATACCCTGCCATTGCATACAATTCTAAAGAAAATAACACAGAACACAGGAATTGTTGAGAGACATAAATTTCCAACATCAAAATTGTTCTTTGTAATTGTTAAATCCCTACCCTCTGCCAGAGTCCTTAATGGAAACACAACATATTTATTTTTGTTTGATTAACAACCTTGGCGCTAATGCAAATAATTGACTACCATTTAAGTCAATGTTGAGTTTACTCACTGATCAAATTGCATTTTATCCCATCAGAAATGAGCTTGACTTTACTGATGATAGACCAATAATTGCAATTGACTAACATTAGAGGTGACTTTGTATTTATTGACCTTGAGGTATTGATTATACTTGACTAACTTTATTGGTGACGTTGACTGTAATTTGAACCTATGTCCACTGACTGTACTTCACTTCTGTTTCTGACTTTAGACTTATTGTACTTAACTGTCTGGTGACTTTGAACTAACTGACCTCGTGCTAATGATTGTACTTGACTAACTGGTGTAGCCCTGGAACCTGGTTCTATGTCTACCATATCCTTCTTTGTACCACATAAATATATTAAACAGTTCTACAAATACAAATGTATATGTTCAAACATTTGAATAAAATATTTTGTGAACATTTTTTCTGTACAATTCTAGTTAAAGGAAACAATAATAACTATGTTGAAGTATCTTCTCCTGATTTTCCAATTGCCAGGCAATAAAAATCATTAAATAATCATAAAATAATCTAAAACCAGAATCTGTGTTTGAAGAACACCATGCCTTGCTTGCACTATATTTCTATGTCCAGTTTACCTAAAATTTTCACATCATAAGGAAAAATTGAACCAAGTTTCAAACAGATGTGACCACAACATCATGGTTAACTACCTGGACCAAAAACTTTAACCTAATACAAGATTGACTAACATAAAAAAAAATGTCATCTCTACATACAATGGCACAGAAGAAGTATGAATGAACATTTCATATTATCATTTTTGGAGGTTAAATTTGGACAATAAAATTACCTATTTTTAATATATAAAGAACTGCTGAAACAACGGCTCCTAAATTTTGTGCTGGTAGAGTTCCCTTAAGTGGATAGCATTTTTAATATGAACAAGTGGAAGTTTCCATCAGTGCATTGTCTGTCTAGTGTTTTTGATGTTTTGATACTTTCTGTTAAACCAGCTGGTATATGTATTCATGTTGTCAAGTATTGTGAATACATGTAGCAACTGGTGTTTAAATACACTGTCGGATATATTTAGTCAAATAAAAAAAAAACTGAAAACAAAAAACTTAAAAAAGATATACCGGTATGTGTATTAAAACAACTGAAAACTGACCTAGTTTCTATGATAATGAAAAGCCATTATTTGGAATTAAAGGAGAAGACATGTTAACATCAATTAGACAGCAATCAAACAATATAAAAATAAATGGAGAATGTGTCCCCATGGACACAGATGATGCCTTCGCTTGCATACAACATTATAAAGGAACATAACTCAAGAACGATAAAAGTGACGCTACCCAAATTTGTACTTGATCTGAGTTTTAAGGTAATAAGTATTGTGTATAGGTTTCATAATGTTTGGTTGGGGCAAACTTAAGTAACAGAAAGGAAACTAAAAATTTTGCAATTTTTCCATTTATAAAGGGGCATAACTCTAGAACAGTTAGAGTGACGCTACCACAATTCAATCTTGATCTGTGTTTTGTGGTAATAAGCATTGTGTATAATTTTCATAACATTTGGTTGAGGCAAACTCAAGTTAGAGAAAGGAAACCAATTTTGGGACGTACGTAAGTACGTAAAGACGGACAAGGGTAAAACTTAATGCCCCCTCCGCGACAGCAGGGGCATAAAAACCCAAGACATCTAGAGGTAAGCTCGTGCTCTTCAACAATGCAGTTTTAAGTGTCTATACAATACATCATGCTCTAAAGCCTCTAGCGTCTAGGCAAATTGTATAGAAACATGTCTTTTGTTGAAAACTGTATGTTCACCTCTGGTTTTCTGTTGATTTTTTGTCATGGAGTTGCTGCCTCATTGATGCATACCACGATATCCCTTTTTCCAAACTTACATTGTAGTGAATTAATTAAATGGAGACATTGATTTACTTACAGGTTCATTACGTTCCAGTTCACCAGACCAGTATCTGGCTTTATCAAAACTTTCAGCATCAGTTAAATCAAAACACAATATGGCAGCCTTAGCACCTCGATAATATATCCTGCTCATGGACTGGTACCTCTCAGAACCAGCAGTATCCTAAAAAATAAAAATATCAGTAATATCTCAAATAAATTCTGCTCATGAAGTGATACCTTTCAGAGCCAGCAGTATCCTAAAAAATAAAAATATTCAGTAATATCTCAAGTAAATTCTGCTTATGGACTGATACCTCTCAGAACCAGCAGTATCCTAAAACCATAAAAAATGATATTTTTTAAAAATTTATTCACATATAGAAATAAGTTTAACAACTCGCGAGAATTGGAAATCGCTTGATATCAACTATCGTTATTTAATTTAAATAGTAATAATAAATTATATTGCCGAAGCTCATTTATTATTATATTGAAATTAAATAACTCGAGTTGATATCAAGCGATATCCAATTCTCACTTGTTATGAAACCTATTTCTCTGATGGTCAACACTCTTAATGTGTTAAATTATAATATTTTGACAAAAAAAAAGATTTCCAGGTGAAAAGTGTAAGAAATCACAAATGTCCGTGATATGAGATATATCTCTTCATGCAAGAAATAGATAATAGGCCACAACCATAAGAGAATTATTTTTTAATTTATTCACATTTAGACTTAATACGAATTAGAGCTTGATACTTAGTAATTTTGAAAACTGTATGTTGACCTCTAGATGTATTTTGATTGGATTGATTGATGTTTGCTTAATGTCCTGTGGCAAGTATTTCATGCATGTTCAGGACATGAAGAAATTAAGAATAAATACAATAGGTAGTTCCTGTAACAGGGGTGGACTGAGATGAAGGGCAGGAAATTTTGACTGCCACTGGAAAATAAGAAGGCAACATGCAGACCTCTAAAACATAGACTCGACAATTAACAGTATAATATATGAAACGTTTCTGAAGGGTCAAATTTTAGCATTTCTTTAGCTGCAAAAGTAGAACTCCAACATCAATAACCAATAAAAATGATATGAAGCTACTTGTTGAACATTGAAATTGGTGTTTCACTTATACCCCCCAAGAGTAGCACCCCACCATCAGTAACCAATAAAAATTTGTAAGGGTTCCGCGGAACCCAGTGTCTCGCCTACTTTTGCTGTTGTCTATGTTTTCAGTGTGATAGGGGAATGCACGTAATAGATTTACAGTTAATGAAATAAAACGCTTGAAATGTATGAAAACAGTTATGCTTGTAAAAAATGAATACAGTATGCAATCAAATCTATAGATTTATAAAAGAGTTGAAACATAAATGTATTGAATGGGGAAAAAATTATCAAAAATTTTCCTCTAGATACTATATTTTGATTGTAAGAAGCTTCTGTCCAAGTTTGGTAAAAATCCAGGATGGTTTATGATTCTAATAAATGTTTTAAAAACTTTAACTGCAGACTGTATGTAATGTTAACTGGAAGAAAAACTAAGTCCATTTATAAGTAATATATGGAAAAACAGGAAATTAGATGCTAGCTTTTGATCATAAACAAGCTTCTGTCCAAGTTTGGTAGAAATCCAGGATAGTTTAAGAAAGTTATTAAAATTTCATAAACATTAACCACAGAGTGAATATTTGTGGACGCCGCCGACAACGACTACGACGATGGAATGTAGGATCGCTATGTCTCGCTTTTGAGACAAAAGTCGCAGGCTCGACAAAAATGATATGAATCTACAGTATCATGTTTTGTGGTCTGCAAATCATTATAAAAATCTTAATAAAATTCCCCCAAACTATTGCAAAACAATTATTTTTTCTATGTTACCCAAATATTCAGTATTACAGTCTTCCCATGAACTTTAACCCTGGCAGAAGCATATGCTGCTCCAATAGTCTGAAAAAGAAAACAAAACTTCTTTATATTAAATGACAGTAAATCTGATTGATACTACAGTCTGGAATAAAATGATTTATATTAGTTGTAATTGGCTTTAAACTAGCTTTCAGTAACTGATAATACACATAAATTGGTACTTTGTGTCTTTTGTTTTCATGTTATTTTTTTTTGTGCTTCGTACGAATTTGTTGAGTTATTTATGCCATTTGGGCCCATTTACAACTGATTTTTACAGTTTGTTATTTAGTTGTGTTGCTTATAACTATCCCAGGTTAGGAGAGGGTTGAGCGCTCACAAATATGTTTAACCTGGTCACATTCTGTATGTGCCTCTCCATAGTCTGGCACCTATGATTCAGTGGTAGTTGTGGTTGCTGTCTATTAATTTGTTATTTTGTTAATCATGTTAATTGTTTTTGTCATAATTCAAGACGTGGTTTTCATCTTTGCCTCACAATTTTGTCATTTCTGGGCTTTTTAAAACTCACTATTCTCATAACTGCTTATTGTTAAAGGCTGTATGTACGGTGAAGACCTCTCTTTGCTTACATCCATGGGTCAAGTCATTTGGACTCTGGTGGATATATTGTCACATTGCATACCAAATTCTCCTTATGTTAAATTTTTATCATATTTTACAGCTAACACATGCCTCATACTATCACATTTACATGTCCTAGTCATGATATGAATGTAATATTTACCACTGGACGTTAGACAGCATCGTCAAAGATTTATAACAAATGTAGGATCATCAGAAACAAAAGTTATGGGATCAAGAAATAAACTGTTTTGTTACCATGAGTTAACTTACATTCTGATAAGGTGTATCAGTAAACATTTGGTTGACATATCTTTGTACAAGACAAGTTTTTCCTGCATAAGCTTTTCCAAGCAAAACAATTTTGAGGTCCAGTTCACCTTCTTTTCTTTTGTTCATTGTAGGAAACTGGTTAATATTGGCCAATTAAATACATATCAAAATCGATAACAATTATACTGAAAAACAAGTTATTCTGTGATATTCAAAACTAATAGCTGCTATGATATCATATTATTTTTGCACAAAGAGTTTGTTCTTCCTACTTCTACTTTCAGTTTTCAAATCTTAATCGATTCTGTGCTTGAAATCTAATATTAGAATCACTCACGGTCGATTTGCACGTGTATGCCTTACAACAATAACAGTAAGTTTAAACTATCATATAATCAATATTGATAGTTAATTATGATAATCTAAATTAAAAGATCATGACCGTTATAAAGACGAAAGATTTTTCACAAAAAATATACAAAGTTAAGGGCTGTGCGTTTCACCAATAAAGACAACAAATCAAGACAAGAGTGAAGAGATGATGGATGCATCACAAAAATGATGCAAGATCTAGAAATTTCACACTAGAGGACAGACGAAAACAACAGAGGTTAATATTTTTCCAAAGGTTGGTTGAAGATCAGGTACCATGCAGTGATGCCTCCTTCTGATCACATATCCTCTATCATTGTAATCATTAAACACATATCTTGCTGCCTTACGCTGAATCTGCTCAATTTGGTTAATTTGGTTAAAAAGACAATCCCGCATAAATTCAAAAACAGTTAAGATCCAGTATTCATCAATCAACCAATTCAAAAACTCATTTTTTATCAGAACTGCTGGCGACTGGAACAACCTTGAAGACAGCACTATATAGCCACACTCGGGACTAATTGTGTTCTGTCCCCGTTTTAATAGCCCACTTGGGATTCTACGACATACCCATACAGATAAAAAATGTGTTATCCATCAAGTATCCATACATGTACATCAATCTGTCTATTTTAAGGGCAAACAGGCTTTTCTTGCCACTACTTTTCATCAAAATTTTCATAATTTGCATAGTAGACCAACCTTTGACCCGAATTGCTGCCTTTGATATCAGAAAATTTGATAAAAATTAACAGTTATTTCTCTAGTTTCATGGTACCGCCCTATGGGGTAAATCTGTGTCTGGAGCGATTTTTTGGATTTGGCCTCGCACACTGAAAAAGTCAAATAGGCACTAATGACAGAATGAAAGTCATTTTGGAATAAATTGTTAGTTACAATGTATTTTGGACAGGGTTGGCAAAGTATTACCTGGGTAGGGATTTCAAACAGGGACACGGTCTTAACATACAAATGTGGGTACAGACGTACGACTGGGGTTTAAAAACAATTCCCATTCATATATTGATTCTGGCAAATATCCCTAACATCACGGTACCCAAATTGCACCAAGTACCCAAATTGCACCTATTTAGTGAACAATTTGTATTTTTATTATTTGACAGTATGCACGTCTTTCAACATAGGTAAATATATTTAAATATGCACAAAACGTTCACAGTATACATGAACAGATGAAGTATAACTGTAAAAGGTAAAATGTCCAGAAACGTCGCCATGCGACGTCCACCAAAAGGTCATCTTTTAGAAATGAGCAAATAAAATATGTTACAAGCCTCCATTTCTTAAGAAATGAATAGTAAGCATAGATTAATGTCCAATTGTTCTAAATATTTGAAGAAATAAAACAAATTATCCGTAATTCGATTATTTAAGGCTGCGAATTTAAGCATGGATGCAATTTGGGTACTCCTTATTTCAGAATCATGGACCGTTTGGAGGTATATTCAAACCCATTTTTTCATGATTCAGTATAGATTCAAAATTAAATTGGTGGAGCCATATAGTGGATAATGATACATCTACAAAATAAATACAGAATGGGAACTTTTGTCTGGATTATAAATAAACGTAGGTGAAAAAACTGTCAAAATAGGTGCAATTTGGGTACCCTCACGTTACCCATATATATACATTTAATAGGAATATTATAACCCATTCATATTTATCATACAATCTGACAAATCTTAATTAGATGTTAACCACTAGGGATAGTTCATTAAATTACTTAAAAAGATCAGTACACTGTTTTTACAGTCCTCTTACATGTCTTAGCAGAAAATGAACATTGACATATAAATTTCTACCCATTGTTATATATAATTTCCATGAAAATACACTCCATTGATACATTGAATATTTGACATTTGTAAAAAGTTGCCCATACCAGTGGCACGTCTGTGTATACTTTTTTATAGGGAGAGACTCCCCCCCCCCCCCCCCCTTGTGGTGAAAAAAAAACATGGTTTTCCTGGAGTTGGGCCAGACACACAGGGGTTTGTATCAAAGTAAGGTAATAAGTATATTATGCTTTAAAAAAAAAAAAAGAAAAAATGGTGTCACCTAACTTGTTTTCTTGCTGCTAGTAAAAAATGAATATTCCATTAACCATGTTAACATTCCCTTTATAATTTTTTTTACTATAGAGTTATCTTCCCTTATATGGCTAAGTTGAAAAATTGAATCAAGCAAAAACAAATACTGGGATTTTTTTTTTAAACAGTGTTGGATGGTATGCCTCTCCTTTTCATATCATAAATGGTTAGAAATATTGAAAACTGAAGATTCCAAACAAGTTATAATATATATTCTTATTTGCCATTACAACATCTTTCGGTCCTAGAATGTGTTTGTTGGAACTTTTCTTTATTGGAGTGACATAAAAAGGTCAAGGGGATACATTAGTTTTAGTTCTCTACTTGTAAATTTGTGCTTGTCCTGAATATGCATCACTTGTCATCCGTTGTCGTCCCTCATCGTCATCGTTAACTTTCACAAAAATCTTCTCCTCTGAAACTGCTTTGCCAAATTTAACCAAACTTGGCCACATCCATTATTGGGGTATCTAGTTTAAAAAATGTGTCCTATGACCCCACCAGCCAAACAATATGGCCGACATGGCTAAAAATAGAACATAGGGGTAAAATGCAAACTTTGCCTATTATTTTGAAAACCGCTATAAATAGAGAAAATCTGACACAAGCAAAAATGTTCAGAATGTTGAGCTCTACCTAATGTTTGTTCACGTCAAAACTGTCAAACAACTTCTTATAGGAGTTATTACCCTAAAAAGATGAATTTTACCATTTTTAAAAATGTTTGCCTATTATCTCTAAAATTATAATAGATAGACAGAAACTTTAAATAGAAAAAATGATCAGCAAGACAAGATCTTCAGATAACCCTAATGGCCGAAATCTTAAGTCGACTTGTTATTGGAGTTATTGCCCTTTAATGATAATTTTTCCCAGTTTTGCCTAATAGTCTTGAAAACGGTACTAGATAGATAGAAACTTTAAATAGCACAAATGATCAGCAAGACAAGATCCACAAATAAGCCAAAATGGCAGAAATCTGCAGTCGACTCGTAATTGGATTTATTGCCCTTTGATGAAAATTTTAAACATTTTTTTGCGTTTTTGCCTATTATCATGAATATCTGATAAACTATAATAGATGGAAACTTAAATAAACAAAAATGATCAGCAAGGCAAGATCTACAAATAAATTTGCCTATTTTCTTGAAAACTATAATAGATAAATAGTTACTTTAAAAAGGAAAATTATCAGCAGGGTAAGATCTTCAAATATGTCAACATGACTGAAATTGTCAGTTATCTCTTAATAGAGTTATTCCCCTTTAATGATGATTTTTACTAAAAAGTGGCTTTTGTTGAAGATGCAGGTGAGCGACACAGGCTCTTTAGAGATGTATCCATCTGATGAGTTAAGCCTTTTTCAACTGATTTTTATAGTTTGTTCTTATGTTGTACCGTTACACCACTGTCCCAGGTAAGGGGAGGGTTGGGATCCCGCTAACATGTTTAACCCCGCTACATTCTGTATGTATGTGCTTGTCCCAAGTCAGGAGCCTGTAATTCAGTGGTTGTCGTTTGTTGATATGTTACATATTTATTTTTCGTTCATTTTTTTTTTTTTTTTGTACATAAATTAGGCCGTTAGTTTTCTCGTTTGAATTGTTTTACATTTGTCATTTCGGGGGCTTTTATAGCTGACTATGCGGTATGGGCTTTGTTCATTGTTGAAGCCGTACGGTGACCTATAGTGGTTAATTTCTGTGTCATTTGGTCTCTAGTGAAGAGTTGTCTCATTGGCAATCATACCACATCTTCTTTTTTATATCTTTAGAGCCTCTAGTTTTTATACGCCCGTTTACGGGACGTATTATGGTATACCGTTGTCCGTCTGTCCGTCCGTCCGTCTGTCCATCGTCAACATGTCGGACATTAACTCAAAAATGCTTTAACCAATTTGCATAAAACTTTGGTGAATTGTTTATATCTATTGACGTGAGCTCCCTTTCGTTTTTTTATAAAATTTAGATTTTACATTTCCGAGTTATGGGGTTTTATTCATTAAAAAAAGGGGGATTTTCCAGTTTTCGGACAATAAGTCAAGAATGCTTTCACCAACTTGCAAGAAAGTGTGGTGAATTGGTTATATCTATTGACATGAGCTCCCTTTATAAATTTTAGATTTTACTTTTCCGAGTTACAGGGTTTTATTCATAAAAAAAGGGGGGATTTTCCAGTTTTCAGACAAAAACTCAAAAATGCTTTCAGCAATTCTTATGAAACTTTGGTGAATTGTTTGTATGTATTGATGTAAGATCCCTTTAGAATTTTATAAATTTTACATTTTACATTTCTGAGTTATGGGGTTTTATTCATTAAAAAAAGGGGTGATTTTCCAGTTTTCGGACAATAACTCAAAAATGCTGTCACCAATTCTCATGAAACTTTGGTGAATTGTTTATATTTCTTGATGTAAGCTACCTTTTTATTTTCATAAATTTCGAATATGACATTGAGAATTAATTGAACTTTATTTGTTTATAGTCTGACAACAGATTTACTAAGTATTGCACAACAGCAAGAAATCTTTAATTGAATATAAATTCAATTCATATAACCAATTTCAAGTTCTTTGACTACATTTATTCAGAAACCTATAATATGTCAAATATTTAATTACAATCAAAATTCAGACCTGAATCAAGCTTGAATATTGTGTCCATTTTTGCCCCAACTGTTCAGAGTTGGACCTCTGCGGGTGTATCTAGCTGCGCTCAGCGAAGCAGTTCATTCATATTTGCCTATTATCTTGAAAATTATTTATAAATATAGAGAAACTTTAAATAGCAAAAAGA